TCTCTGCGATGCACTGATAAAAGCCTTCATCTGAGCGCACCAGACCCAGAATCTGCAGATGACCACCATCCTGAACACCACACACGATAGCCAATCAGGAGAGCTCAGGGGGATACCAATGTGCTCATGCATTTACATTTATTATGACTCTCATGCATACAGGATTTTGGACTTCCAGGTGCATTTCAAGCATTTTCAATTAATTTTATTTAAATTGGAAATTATAAACCACAAATATATATTTTACAGTAAAACACTTCAACGAGAACATCCTGATTCTGTTGCTACACGTTTTTTTAAACCATAACAGATTTTACACATTTGATGGATAACAGAGTTGACAATAACAAAGTTGACGATAACAGAGTTGACGATAACAAAGTTGATGATAACAAAGTTGACGATAACAGAGTTGACGATAACAGAGATGACGGATAACAGAGTTGACGATGACAGAGATGACGGATAACAGAGTTGACGATAACAGAGTTGACAATAACATAGATGACAATAACAGAGTTGACGATAACAGAGTTGACGATAACAGAGTTGACGATAACAGAGTTGACGATAACAGAGTTGATGATAACAGAGTTGACAATAACAGAGTTGACAATAACAGAGATGACGGATAACAGAGTTGACGATAACAGAGTTGACAATAACAGAGATGACGGATAACAGAGTTGACGATAACAGAGATGACGGATAACAGAGTTGACGCATAACAGTGTTGACGATAACAGAGTTGACGATAACAAAGTTGAACATGATAGAGTTGACAATAACAGAGATGACGATGACAGAGTTGACGATAACAAAGTTGACGATAACAAAGTTGACGATAACAGAGTTGACGATAACAGAGTTGACGATAACAGAATTGATGATAACAGAGTTGACGATAACAAAGTTGAAGATGACAGAGTTGACAATAACAGAGATGACGGATAACAGAGTTGACGATAACAGAGTTGACAATAACAGAGATGACGGATAGCAGAGTTGACGATAACAGAATTGACGATAACAGAGTTGATGATAACAGAATTGATGATAACATAGATGACAATAACAGAGTTGACGATAACAGAGTTGACAATAACAGAGTTGACAATAACAGAGTTGACGGATAACAGAGTTGACGATAACAGAGTTGATGATAACATAGATGACAATAACAGAGTTGACGATAACAGAGTTGACAATAACAGAGTTGACAATAACAGAGTTGACGGATAACAGAGTTGACGATAACAGAGTTGATGATAACATAGATGACAATAACAGAGTTGACGATAACAGAGTTGACAATAACAGAGTTGACAATAACAGAGTTGACGGATAACAGAGTTGACAATATTAGAGATAACGGATAACAGAGCTGACGATAACAGAATTGATGATAACAGAATTGATGATAACAGAGTTGACGATAACAGAGTTGACGATAACAGAGTTGATGATAACACAGTTGACGGGTAACAGAGTTGACGATAACAGAGTTGACGGGTAAGAGAGTTGATGATACCCCAGTTGATGATATGTATAAAAAATTCTATGAAAGAAGCAAATGAAATGTATTTTTCTTACCACGATCTGAAAGTAGTCACTGGGAACAACGACCTCTCCGTTCTTCACCCAGCGGACGACAGGTTGTGGGTTTCCAGTCACTGCACACTCCATCTCAATGTCTGAGCTTTCATACGCATATGTGTTTGACGGGTAGTTGAGAAACTGAGGCGGCACTGAAGACACAGAGAGAAAGATAACACTATAAACATCAGCAGATCATCTCAAAAACCAGTTTACCCATCAACACGCATCCAGCCTGAAGACTGGACCATGCACTGTACACTTCTGACTGTGCTTCATACAGGTGAGTGAGGTGGACAAACCACCTGTAGAAACACTCTCCACACCCAATATGCACCACACACTTTACCTAAACTCCATCTTACAAGGACTCAATAAGGAAACCAGTGATTGCCTGTGAACCACAAATCATGTCAACCTTGTTTTCAGCTAGCATATTGTTATGTTTTATGTAAAAGTACTTGTGTAACGTATGTATAGTGCATGCATACTTAGTAGTATCCACTCCAGCATGTTAGTTATGTTTAAACATCTCTTATGTCCAGTGTTGTGTTCATATTTATGATTGTGGTTATTTATGTAACACTGTGGTCCTGCGAGACAATTTAAACCACTGTATGTCCACATGTGTAGCAGTATTAGCTAATATTAAAGCAATAAGCAGTTAACAGGGTCAGTTTAGCAGTTTATCAGTGTAAACAGACTGAGGAGAGCGGGTTCACTCATGGTGTAGTGTGGGAGAAAGCATAATGAGATGTATCTGCATGGTGCTTCACTCCTGACCTCGCTAATCTTCAAAACCTGCTCACAGCAAACACACCAC